CTGCCCAGGCAGGTCTCGAACCCGCCGGCTCAGGCAATCCACTCACCTCAGCCTCCCAAAGGCACGGGATTACAGGCTGAGCCACTGAGCCCGGCTGCCAGGTTCTAGATGACAGTGACTGTAAGCGTGTAGGGCCCCTCGGGTGCAGGCCTAAATCCCAAATGCTCAAAAACAGCCTCTTGTAAGTTGTGCCAATTAGGACACCCAGACCTGACGGGATGCAGTTGACAGCCCTGCTAGACTTCACTGGGTGGGCGTGCTCACATGTGCGGCCTTTGACTGCAGAGACCCCGGCCCTGACTGGGTCTGCAGTCTGGGAGGCATCTGACGCCTTTACGAAACTGAGAATTCTAAATTCCAGAAGCATCGCCACCCCTCCTCCCCCCCAGAGTCCAGAAGAGGCACTGCGGTCTAAGCTAATGCCTCACAGGAGGGATGTGTGTCGAGAAGCAGGAGCTGAATGGCTCTTCCTCCTTCCTTGCAAGGAATGGGTAGTGGGGAGGAGCCGGGCTGGACAAAGAGATTCAGGACTCCTGTGCCGATAAGCTGCGGTGGAATCCCAGGGGGCTCAGTCTTCACAGTGAGTGCATCTTTTGGAGTACAGAAATCTGGATCTGGATCTGTTCTGCAACTAAAAACAAAACAAAACAAAAACAATGCGAGCTTCGGCCATAGAGCCAAGTCGTCATCAGATCCTGTGTGCGGCTTGCGGGGTCATGGCGCCATCTGTCGCCCAGGTGTGGGATCGCGTCTTCACGCTGGCTCCTGAGGCTGGTCCTGGCTAGGAAGCGGGTCCTGGCTAGGAAGCGGCTCTCGGCTCTCGGCTCTGGGCTTGGACTCAAAGGTGATGAAGAAGGGCGCTCTCTTCTCTTTGGTCCCTGAGCTGGAGCTGGGGAGTGTGGACCATGAACACTATGTTGAGTGAGTTTGTGCCCAGTGTCATTTCTCATGAGACGCGCTAACTTCCAACCTGCTGTCTGGCAGCACCGTCCATTCACAGTCGTTCTAGCTGCTGGATACACTTAGTTCAGATTTCTGCTTTCTTTTCAATTTTCAGCTGCAAATCAAGCATGCAGTTACAGAAGCCGAGATTCAAAAATTGAAGGCCAAGGTAAGCACCAATGTGTGAGTTGTGCACTGCACCTTCTCAACTTCAGATACCGTGAGTACATCCAGCCGGAGACTGAGGGGTCTGTTCCTTGTCCACTCGAAAGGATGCAGATGTGAGGGCTCATTTCCACTGTCAGGTGCACGGTGAAAGCCAACATCCACACCCCTCAGCACAAGGAGCACGGTATTTTACATGTATGTAATTATGCATGTGCACGTGTGTGGCCCCTTTCCTCTGAGACTTCCTCAAAAGGTGATATATTTAGTGGTTACTTTTAGTTACTAATTCCTTAAGCATAAGCTATTGTATTATATCTCCTCTTTATTTACCTTACTATAAATAGATATAATTATTTATTTTTTTGTAGGAGCTATGTATTGTCGGAATATAGCATGTTAGTTTATTGATATAAATAATCCTTAATCTACATAATTAAATATAATGAACATCATTTAATATTTGCATCATTTGTTTTAGGTACCAGGTACTACCAGAAATTTTTAGGCAATCTGCTTCATGTGATTTAAATTTGTATGGGAGAAAAGGTCTTGATAAAAGAGAGTATGTATTATTAGTCTATGTTTATAAAATAATACAGGATTCAAAAGGACATTTTAAATTGGTCAATTATAAGATACTTGTGTGAGACACAATTCTAGCAGTGTTGTTTAGTTTTTATGAAATATGTAATTTTAAAGATTAAAAAACATGTTTTGAATTACTTTTTAAAAATATTATTTATTCTCTCTATGGTCTTTTTAAAATTAAGACATAATTACTCCACCACCAGTGATGTTTTGCTGTTGGCACTGAACACTTGCTGTGGTTCCCCCATATGTCCTAATGGAGACGGATTAGCAAAGCTGTTCTGGTGAAACGGCATTCTCAGCCAAGTCACTCTGCAGCTCTGTAGTCAAAACATGTCCATACATCATTCATGGTGTCGGCCCAACTCTGTGAATAATAATTTTTAAATGAGTACTGGCTGGTAAACAAACAACTTGATACACAACATTACAGAATAAAAGATGCAGTGAAAAATCTAGCTCTGTTTTAAATTATCACTGTTTCTTGATGTACAAAGGGAGAACAGAAGACTTAAAAAAAATTGTTGGTTGCAATTAGAGAAAAAGATTCCCCTGTGATTATAAATGTAATGAAGCTTATGTTTTAGATGACAAACATTTAATTTAGAAGATACTGTAAATGAGTATTTTATATTTCTCTTGTTATTACTTTGGCATGTAATATCCAAAAGATTATCTTACTTTACTGTGATTCTTTGTTATTCATTTTGATAATATAATTCCTAATTTTGAAACCTTTTTGACTATTTTTTTACTTTGTAATCTGTTTTACAAATGTGTTTAGTTAAAAATATATACAAAAACATAGATGTGTATGTATATATATAAATATATATTTACACAAATATAGATTTCTATAAACATATGTTTCCATTTGCTGAATGATGTGCGATTTTGAACATTGATTGTTTATGCTAATTCTATACCCTTTTGAGCCATAAGAAGGCACATGAAGTAGATAGAGCACTAGTGTGACAGCCAGACAGTCTTGGGGAACTTTGGCTTTTGAGCCCTCACCTAAAGGCTCAGTCTTAGATTTCTGTAGAAATGAGAGTACTGGACTAGTATGTTATTTACTTCCAAGAGTCCCTGAAAGCAGAAACCACAAAAAGCTGCCTTTCTGGTCCATGGGAGGAAATTAAATTAATCAAGCAACAATTTACATTTTTATTATACTGTCTTTTATAATTTTGTGGTAACTGGGTTATGGGGCTCCAGAAATTCATTACACTGCTGTAAAATCATGAACTGAGGGCTGCGTTCATATCAGTTGAATTAAAGAACAGAATAATATCATCAAAGGGTTAAAAACACAGTAAAAACAGCTCGTGTTTAGCTAATGATTATTATACGCTGGGAGCTGTTCAAGCCTGCTAATGTGTGCCGTTCCAGTTCTGTTGTGTAGATGATAAAACGGAGTTTGGGAGAATGTCAGTCACTCACTGGAGTTTATCATCTGTCACAGCAGAGCTGGGCCTCAGATCTAAGCTGGGGCTTCAGTGTCCTGCCCAACTGACGTTCGCACTGTGTCCAGCACTCTCTCCCAATCCCTTTTTTTAACCTATAATCTTGCCTTTTTTACATATAATTATACATTTTTAAAAACACTCTCAGAGACATTCATTGGATATAGTCAGTCAAACTCTGAAACATCCTCTACTGCTCATAGGATTCCAATCCCATGGTGGGATAGCAATGTCATGAGAGGTGGGATCCAGTTCGTGTCCTGTCATTCATGTGACCTTGGACACAGCATTTCCCATTTCAAAGGTTCCATTTCATCACCGATGAGATTAGGAAAACACTGCTTGCTCCTCTCATCTCAGGGCGTTTTGATGGTTGAGTACAGACAATAACGGCATTTTGTCTGTAGCGTGCTGTGAAGACGAGAGACTTGTGCTACAGAAGTAGGTGTCCAAATGACCCTGGCCTTGACATTCACTTTCTCCAGCTCCAGGCAGCAGAAAATGAGAAAGTGAGGTGGGAAATGGAGAAAACCCAGCTCCAACAGAACATAGAGGAGAACAAGGAGAGGATGCTGAAGCTGGAGGGCTACTGGATTGAGGCGCAGACGCTGTGCCACACGGTGAATGGGCACCTCAAGGAAACACAAAGCCAGTACCAGGCCCTGGAGAAGAAGTACAACAAGGCCAAAAAGCTCATCAAGGACTTCCAGCAGAAGTGAGTACCTCTGAGCCAGGCGGGTGCGCGTCTGCAGGGCGGGGAGCCGGAGCTCAGGGCATCTGTGGGAGCCGCAGTGGCGCCAGTCACCCCCAGACCATGGCTATGTGTCCTGGAATCCCCGCCATTGCTCTTGCACAGGAGAATGTGTTTTGTGTATTTCACAAGTTTTTGGCAGCCAGTGCCTCTTGATTTTTTTTTGTTGTTGTTCATTTATCCAAAGATATTCAGGTTCCTGATGCAAAATGGGAGTAGTAAGAGTTGAAGCATCTGAGTCTCTCTGTCCCTGTGCACACCTCTGTGGCCTAGCAGTGAGATGTGCCACTGAAGTCACAGTGATGGCCCAGCGGTGGTGCTGTGGTGCACACAGGGTGGCCTGTGTTAGGTGCTCCTCTCTTAGAATCAGTAATAGCAGGAGTCCCTGCTGCATACAGGGTCCATTTGCAAGACCCCACGCACCCCTCTGCACGCCTCAGCCTTGAGAGCCTGATATCCTGCCCCCAACCCACTCATGGGAGAGGCATTGCCTGGCTCTGCTGCTGTGTTTCAGCGGCCTTCCTGGACCACAGCAGCTTAGCTTCCATCTCTTGGCTTTCAGTGTCAGGGAGCCTTTTCAGAGACATGTTTCCTAGATTCTTATGTCAGTAACTGCTGGCTAGCTAGGACAGACATGTGGTGCCAGTGCCAAGCCTTAGCAGGAATCTGTGTATAAGCTGCACCCCTTCTCTGATGTTTTTTATTGTGGAAAAAATGTTTTTAGTATTTAAAAGAGATCACTCTCAAAAGTTTATTGTTAAGAGGGCAATGACTCTTTTTGACTTCAGGTTGAGTCCATCACTGTGTCGATTCTTTTTGCCAAAAATATCATATCTCTTTCATGTAATAATTTTACAACATATTTTTCATAAATTTGCATGCTATATTCCAGGCTTTCAAAATGAAGACATTTTTCTTAGCCCCAGGGCATCCTTATACGTGGAAGTGGGCCCCCCCCCATTTCTGACCCACCTGGCCCCTCCTCCCTTGTTCATGGAGGGAAATCTTACTGTAATATCCTTTCCAACTCTTCCCATCCAGCTTCATTAGTATACTGTGCACATGACATTGAAAACACAGAGTTATTTCCAGCTGACACGTAATTATCTCACTAAATCACCCAAAGGGTGTCATGAGTTCAGTTGTTCCCCACCAAATACATGCGGTGCTCTTGAATCAGGAACCAAAATGAAAATTGTAATCAGCCAAATCAAAGCATTCTTCTTTACTCCGTGACCCATTAGAGACTTTTTATTTTCTTTTATGACCATATAGTTTTTCTCTAACCCTGAGTTTTGTTTATGTAAGTTACTGTTCGCTTGTTTAGCCGCTGTGCACGCTATTGCTTCAGTAAGAACTCTCACGTTTGCTATAATCAAATCCATTATCTTCTTCTTAAGAGAGCTTGATTTCATCAAGAGACAGGAAGCAGAAAGAAAGAAAATCGAAGACTTGGAGAAAGCTCACGTCCTGGAGGTCCAAGCGCTTCAAGTGCGGGTGAGTTGTTCCTCACAGTCAACCCTCATGAGGGTGTTCATACCTGGGGGCTGGGAGTAGCGCTGACTTGGAGTGTTATGAGTGACCTGTTCTTCCTAGATCAGAGACCTGGAAGCAGAAGTGTTCAGGCTCCTGAAGCAAAACGGGACTCAAGTTAACAACAACAACAACATCTTTGAGAGAAGAACGTCTCTTGACGAAGTCTCTAAGGGAGAAACCATGGAGAACTTGGATGTCAAGCAAACGTCTTGTCCTGATGGCCTGAGTCAAGGTTTGTTTAACCAAACACAAAATTCATTTCTAATGACTGCATCATTTGGCCTTATGTTTTTCTTTTTCAGACACAGAGTTTTACGCATTGGAAATGCCTTCCTACTTAGGAAAAAAGAAAAGGTTTATCAAAATAGGAGTCTGTCATTTTAGCTCTTGTCTTATCCAAAATAAGTGCTTTCATGTAGAGAGTTATCAAATCCCAACTATAATCAAGCCAGACATTTAAAAACCATCATAAAATTGACAGACTCAAAAAACTGCCTTAAAAATGAGGATGGGCTGCCCACCCATGTCCTCAGGAGTAAGGCTGAGACCGATTAGGTCACTGGAGTGAGATCTTTCGCAAAATGCCAGAAGGCAGACTTGCAGCTTCTAGTGCTGGAATCTACTGAGTTGGAAGTTCTGTACCGGGTGGTGTGTTAACCTTGGTATCCCATGTGCACTTCTTAGATCTGGAGACGTTTCCTACTGTAAAAGGTTGTTTTCTCACACATCAACCACAAATAAATCTCTTGCGTTCTTACACACGCAACATACTTAGGACATGTGTGTATGATCAGGAAGGAATGTTTTATATCTATAGTATGTGCATAAATTAGAAACTGTAGCAGAGTTAGAAAGATGGCTGCACAGGAGGGCATGAGATGCTGGATTTCATGTATTAAAATGTCTCCAGTGAGATTTTCCTGATAAACATGTGTTTATAGTCTGTCATTAACCTTTAGAACTAAACTCTTAGCCATTAAAAATGGAAAGTGTTGGAAATACTTATTTAAAGCGCTGTTTGGAGATTTGAGTCCATTCATTAGGCTTATATCCTTAGGATGGGCTTTCCCTAAGTAGAACATAAATTATAAACTGTGCTGTCAGCCCACTGGAGGGGGGATTTGGCACCAGCAAGGCCACTGTCTGAGGAGCCGTGTGGCTTCAGGAAGATCATTTCATTTCTCTGAGTTGATTTTGCTATGCATATTTTTTTAAAAGCACTATTTCTTTGTTCTTCAACTTGTAGGGTGTTTTGAGGCTGACTTATTCTCTGAGGCCAAAAAAGGTAATTTTATTAGAGCTTTTATAGGATTATATAATGTATATACCTGGAACACTATAAGATTTATATCTAAAGGAAAATATCAGAAAGCAAATCAATGTACTTTTTAAACTTTTTTGAATATTTCAACTGTAAGATACTTGTAGTTTATAATCAATACACGTTCCCACTGTGGCAGAGTATGAAGATACCCGATAGCTTTTCCTTTCTATTCATTTCTTTCCATTTAGAAGTCTATATCCAATCAAACATATAATTAATGGTGTTTATTGAATTACATGACTACCGCAGATCAACAAACTACCCTGTTCACATGCTGATTTGGATCAAAACCTTCCATTTCTCCTGAACCCATTCTCTGTTCCTCACCCTCCATTTTGCCACATAATTATCAGGTTCCCTAGCAACACTGCGGGCTCACAGTGAGCTGCAGAGACTACTAATTCCCACTGAAAGCGATCCATGCTCGTTCAGTGGAATGGGAACAGGTCACCCAGATGCTGGCAGCACACACGTCAAAGGATGCCCTTCCTGTCCTGCTGCTGAGATAGTCGGTGTCATAGCTCCTTGGGTTCCAGCTGTTCATCGTGAACTAAGATGGCCGGTCAGTGGCTGAATGGGAATGCTCAGGAAAGTGCCTTCTAAGTGGCTCCTGTGCTCTGTGGCTAGGGAGCGTGTGGACCTGGGGGCTGAAAGGGGCGGGAAGGCTGTGGACCCGATGCAGGCCTTTGGTGGTTGAGGAGCCCCTGTCTTTGTGAGTAGGGCTGGCCCAGTGGTGACAGTCCATTTCCCGCTCCCGCCCATCAGGTGTGCTGTTATCCCTCATCCTCGAAGACTGTCCCGTTCGGGCTTCCTTTCCGGGCGTGGGACGTTGATGACGAGCACCCTGAAGTCCTGGAAGGAAGAGACAGGGAAGGTGCATGATGGAGGCAGGAAGGAGCGAGGAGGAGAAGAGCCCGAAAGCTGCCCTCTCCTTGCGTGGCGCGTGCTCTTCTGGAGCAGAGAGCAGGCAATGTGCGCACGATGCGACTCTCAGTATTGAATTACTGAACGTTTTTGAGGGATAAAACCGCTTTCCAAACCATACAAAAACTTGCGCAGTTGAAATTGTTTCAACACCAGCTGTGTGTTTCTCTCTATAAACAAAGTCAACTTAAGTATCTCACTAAAATTTTGATAACGATTATACATACAAATTCATTATTTCATATATTCTAATATTTTTTCTTATCTTAATCATATAAAGCAAATGTAGCACTTTTCACCAGGAGCTGTGACAGATCTTAAATCCATTCTAGTTGATACCAGCGTGCTGATCAAATATTTTCCATGTGTGTCACAGAGGAAAATGATTGTTTTTCCCTACCACCACTGTGTGTCATGTTTCTCATTTCTTAGTGACTAAGAAATGCTGGGATTCAAATAGAGCAGAGAATAGGTGTGTTCAAGAGATCTCAGTGGGCTAAAAGGGTGTAATCTTAGTTTGACTGGATTTCCTGGAAATGTCACTGAAAAACAGTGTTTTTCCTCAGCTTCTGGGTATTCTAGGATCTCGATGTCGATACTGTTTTCAGCTTCAAATATTTTATAGGCTGTCTTGTTAAAGAAGGATTATGCATATTCCATGGAAATACTGAAAGAAAGATGAGGACCAATAGGTGGAAGTTACATAGGAAGGCATCTTCTGACTGTCCTACTATGAGAGGTCAGGAGTGAGTATGCTATCATTTTAGTTATTCTGAGCACTGCTTACAGGCAGGCGTGCGTGGCACGCTGACCTGGACGGGAAAGAGCAGCTGCCAGGCAGAAGCATAGAGGTAGGCCCTGCCCAGCACGACAAGGTATGTAATTCGATCAAGGGAACAAAGTGAAAGAGAGGGAACGTGTGGTAGGAAACAAATACATGGGACTTAAGGCACTATAACGCATCTTAAGGATGAGAGGGATTTCAAAGAAGAGGAAAGTTGAATAAAATTGGGAAAACTTTTCCCTGATTCATAGACCCCCTATTAAAGGTGGAACCATTTGAAATGGCTGGGTTGTTCTTGGACTCAAAGTGGCCTTTGCATTGGACAGTTTCGAGGCATAGCAGGAGCTGAGTCCCTTGCAGGGTTGTCAGTATAGTTGAAGGATCTCATGAAGTTTGATATTGCCACTGAGGGCTTCCTCTCTCTCACACCCACCTGCTCAGTTGGGGAACACTAGTTAGCTCATACTGTGTGTTATCTCCCCAAAAGCAAGAACAGGCAGGGCTACCTAAGGCATTGTACATGTCGTTTCCTTAGCGACTTGCCATTCCTTAGCTCTGGTGAGAACTGAGCAAGAAGAAAAAGACTTAGATTGCAAAGTGAACAATTATAGGAAGGTCTAGCCTTGCAGAATAGATTGAGACTGGAATTAATCACTCTATCCTGGATGTCTTTGAAAATAACAATATATCTTAGCTAGTTTCCAGCTAACTTTAAAATATCCCAGAGACAAGAGCATAAGGAGAGGAAAATAATAACTTCCTTGTTTCCCCTCCTCACTATGCTCCTTTTCAACAAAGTGATCCGGCCGCTACAGTAAGGCCCCAGATTCCCCAAACCTGGATCCCTTTGTTGGTGGCCTACACCCATATGGTGAACACAGCACACACGATCCCAAGGCCAAGATTCCAGCATGTCAGTGGAACTTGGAGTCTGTGTAGACATTCAAGCTGGTCCGTAGGCTCTTCTACTGGGTGCTTACTCATGACCCATATGTTAGCATGGCATTTTGCATGGAATCCCATTTCTTGGAATTGTATCACTTTTCTGAAATTTACTCAGATTTCGTGAATAAGGTCTTCATCGGGAGGAACAAGAGAAAGTAACCAGATCCTGTTAAGGGAATCTGCCTCTTTCAGCATCTGTGTGTTTGTACATTCTTACGGTTCATGTGTTCACTGTCTGAAAGTAACTTGAAGAGGCACCGTAGGTAACAGGTTCGGGCAGATTGTAAGTAAGATAACAGGAAAATGAGGACAAGGACAGGGTGGAACCAGAAGTGATTCTGCAGGAACGTGTCCCGTACTTGGCGCCCATCAGAGGCTGGACCCTCTGTCTGGCTCTGAGCCTCCTGGTTTCCAAAAGGAAAAGAGGGCCCTTGTTTGTGATCCAGTGTTCATAAAACAGGAACAAGCTATCTACTCCAGCTGCTGGTCAGAGGGTGAAGGAATGCATAATTGGTGATCTGTGGCTACAAATATTGATAACATTCTTATAGGAATCCAGTAATGATTTTGCTAGGATGTTTTCACACAGTGGCCCTCAGTGTAGGTTGACAGCGTCACACAGAGGTACCAGGTCATGTTCAGTACAGCGATGGAATTCCTGAGAGGGCAAGAGCCGAGACGCCACAGCACCGCACTCCCTGGGGCTCCAGCACAGTGTTCAGGGGAAGGACTGTCGTGGATGTCAGGTCAGATGTTTAACCGTGTTATTCAGAACTTCTAGAGTATGTTCCTGAAAGTGATATGTCCAAGGGTTGCACACTATAGTTGTGGATGTATCTATTTCTTCTTCTGGTTTGGTTTTTGTTTTATGTGTTTTGAGGTGACATTAGTAGATACATTCAATGTAGGAATGTGAATGCTTCTCGGTAGTTTGTCTCTTGATCATTAGAAAATGTTCTTCTTTGTTTCTAGTAATTCACCTTATTGTATACTTTGATATCTAGAGTTATGTCACCATTCTTTTGGTGAGTGTTTATATAGTGTATCTTTTTTCATCCTTTTATTTTTACCCTTGCTATGTCTCTGATAAGCAGTATATAGTTGTTTATTTTTTATTGTAGTCTATCAATTTTTGTTAGGATGCATTTAGAAAGTTGTTATTTAACTTATTTACTAATATATAGAGTTTAAATCTAACATTTACTATTTATTCCCTACTTGTTGTTTCTTCTTTGTTCTTTTTATATGTTTTCTT